GAGATGCTTATCTTGTTTTCTATCCAATACAGTACTGTACCTGCCGCTAAATTCGTGTTCAAAAAATACAGTAGCTGTTTTCTCACCATCGATTGTCTTAAAATGATTTTTGTAAACCTCACTCTATCTAGAGAATGAATAACTTTCTTTCTTATTCAATATGTTTGTTACCAAGCCTCTCTGTTTTTATGAACAAACTTTAATATTCCAGTTATTCATACCGAAATCGATAAAAATATCCCAAACAAACAAAAATATACCAAATACAGTATACTATTCAGGAACTGTAAATATTTTATAAAGAAAAAAAATTTTTTTTTTAAATTATAAAGAAAGAAAATTACATTTTTTTAAAATAAAATAAACCCTAACGAAAAAAAAATTAAAGTAATTTATACTCTTATAATCAAACAAATATAAAATTTGTACATAGAAAACATTGTGGATTTTTTTTTCATCAACCGCAACAAATTAATGTTAGGAAGAAAACTTTGTGTAATTAATATTACAACATTACATTTTTAAGTGTTAATTTTATTTTCTAGAAAGGTGCAATTAACTTTTGCTAATCTTTTTCTATTTTTAATCAAAATTCAACCGTGCAAAGTATTTATTTATTTATTTATTTATTTTCGTTTAATATGCCTATAGCAAAATAGAATTTTCTAATTTTAGTTTTAAATTTTCTTAATTTTATTTCAATTCTTAAATGATAGTTAGAAAAAAAAATTAATCAGGCTTATTTTAAAAAATAAACTTAAGTTCTGAATTAATCATTGGAGTAATAGAATAGTGATTATATATATATAGGCCTATATATATATTTTTAAATTAATTATTTTTTTTATATTTCTAAAATGTCGAGAGTACTTAAAGCTAAAGTAGAAGTATTGATCTGATAAGTGGTTTTCTACTTTTTCTTATATTGCTACCTTTGTTGTTGTGAACTTGCAAATAAAACCATTTCTTTTCTTACTTTCTACTCATCAAATAAATCACGTTTTTTCTGTTTTTTACTCTTCCAGAAACTATAGAAATAAAACTTTCATTTTATTTATTATCTAAACGTCACGTATCAATTAAATTTTTATATTAAACATTTCCCAGTTTATGTTAAATTATTACAGACTTCGAGTTCCAATATCTTCTTCCATACTGCTACAGAAAACTTCCATACCATAATATCTTCTTATTCCTTCCAACTTAATTAATATAAAATTACTTCGGGATTATTTTTATTTCTAGATAAAACTACTTACAAAGTCAAATGAGAAATTTATGCAAGCATTTTAATTATTTTTAGTACGTCTGCGTGGTTTATTTTTTATTTTATTTTTTAAAATAAATTACCATTTTAGTCTGTGTACAGATGTGCTACGAACACAATGCTTTCTGCACCATTGCATGAAAAATAAACAAATTTTCCGATTTCTATGCGTGTTTTGCCGTTTGCGATACAAAGAAACTGGTAAAATACATTATAAATATTTGTAAAATATAAAAAAATGTAACGGTTTATTTAAATTTTATATGGCTTAATATAATTCTTCAATAAACTTAATTTTTGAAAAATTATTCCTCTTCATCGCTCTGGATGTTTTTCATATTGCTTTAATCACACCAAAATTTTAAACTTAATCCCATTTAATCCGTAAAGTTCTATGTAAAACGTTACCAGGATCGATCGATTTATGACAGAAGTTAAACAATGCTACATTTTATATTCCATGAAATCATTATTATTCAGGAAAGATCTCAAAAATCCCCACAAGAAGTTGTTAGACTTCCAGCAGGATTCTTCTTTTATATATATATATATATATTTTTTTTTTTTTAATATAAACTTTGTTTATTTTAGGTTCGTTCGTAGTATGAATGAATGGTATGAATAAATGCGATGCTCTTCATCCCTTGCAGTAGATGCTAGTTCATCATTTTGAGTGCAGGTGAATATTTATTCTCACTGTTCGACGGAAAGAGATTTGTGTTAAATCCTCCATAAGCTTAGTATATTCTAGAAAGTCATCTTTTCTGGCTAAAAGTGTAGAAAAAATAAAGAATGATAGCGTGCGGTTTGGAAAAAAAAAATGTATGTTTATATAGGGCCTATATACTCTCCAGTCTTGTTCATAATATAAGAATACTTTTAAAGCAATTTCTTGCTGATTAAAAATCAAACATTTATATACACATACGTATAAAAAAAAATCAAATGTGCAGAGTTTTATTGCAGAATTATAGTTTGATTGTAATATTATCGTCATTTGGGATGACTTCATTAGAATTTTATAGGTCCATAACAGTAAAGTCTTGTACTTTTTCTCCATTTTCTCTTAGAGTAAACACAAAAAACACATTAAAAATTATTCATTTATAGGAATTATTTACCTCATACATCTATATTTTATTTTATTTCTTAAAATTTTTAAAAGTTAATAAGATTTATTAAAAATTACTTCGCTCTCTTCGCTTAATTTATTCGACTTCCATTAATCAACGATAAATATGCTAAAAATTTCATCTAATTTCATTAATATTATTGGAAATTTTCGTAAAATTTTAAAACTTAAGTCGAATCTTTATAGGAAAAATATGGACAGAATAAAATATATCGTCATTAATTTTTAGAATTTACTTAATTTATTACGGTGAAAGTTGAGAAATATTTTATAAAAATGATGGAAGAAATAAAATATCAGTTTCACTTTACAAAATAAAATATTTAAAAACATGAAATAATAATAATAATAATAATAATATATTTAGTTCTATAAAAAGTATTACTTTATAAATCAATATTTCATTGAAATTTTTATTATATTAATCTATATAATTCAATAATTTTATTATAGTTTACGTAAGAAAAAAGAAAACTTTTAATTTTTATAACTAAAACTTAATAATCTTATTAAATATTAATTCGAGCAAATCCCGGATGAAAATAAATTAAAATTTACATGTTTAGTGTCAAAAACTATTTAAATTTTCATACTAATTACTACCCTAAATAAAATATTGACAAAATGTTATTATTTAAATATTAGCTTTAGAGAATAAATATTAATATTTAGAAAATTTTCATTTAGAATTATTAGATTAATTTCTAAATTAATAATAATATTTTAAAATGCAATTTTATTTTTTACTAAAATATTTTTATAAAAGCAATTATTTTATCGATAAAATATTCGAGATGTAATAAATTTTAAACGATTCAAAGTGTAATAATTAACAAAAAATTCACGTCATTTAACAATATTTTTTAACTTTTGTTGGGTTGTAATTTGAAAAAATTGTAGATTGTCTGTCTGTCTGCCTGTCTGTCCTTCTTTAATCTCTAGAACTGTGTCAGATAGATAAAATTCGAGACCAGATATGAAAATTTTAGGGGTAGTAGGCCCCGAATAACTATATAATAACTTCCAATCTAAACCGAAACTCACGTGATTTTAATTCAAAAAATGTTCCCCTGAATGGAGGATGACCGGCACGACTTCCTTTTTATCAGGAAAAGTATGATATACAGGAGTAAGCCACTATTACTTTGAGATGGAAAGCATATATTTTAAATGAAATAAATTAATAATGTGATTAAAAATTGCAGCTCGATGCCACAATAATTTTTGCACGTTCATTTTAAATGTAAATATTTTATTTCATTCTGTTTTAATGGAAAGTTTTATTAATTTGTTACTCATTAATGCTGATTATATGGACTAATTAAATAATTATATATCTAATAAAATATTATTTTATTTTAATTTTTTAATCTAGTTTATACAAAAAGCTTGGTTTCGTAATCGTAGATTTTATGTAGAGAAGACGTAAGCTTATATATCACATACAAGTTACATTATAATAATTGTAAAATATGGATATTGATAATTAAGACGACAATTAAGCCCGGTTACCTTAATTTAAATAATTAGATTTTGTAGAGATACGAAGTTGTTAATACGTTAAGAGCAATTTTGGATGCGATACATTTCCCTGATGTTACTTCTGTAATTTTCTCGCTTCAGAAAAAAAAAAAGGCAATGATACAATCGAAATTGTAAATTTTTGCTGTTAAAATTATCATTTTTCTCTTTAAAATATAGAAAATTTTAATAGTTAAGTTATTCGAAACGATAATTTGTAGTATGATATCAAGCAAAAAGATAGGGAAGAATGTCAAGAAGAATGATCAATAATCCGTTCTCTTCATCAGAAGTAAATTTAACTCTACATTCAGTGTTGTGACTTATCATTGATGAAGTTTTAAATTAATTATATACATATATATGAAGAAAAAAAAGAAAAAGATTCTTGTTGCAATGAAAGATAATTACTTGAATGGACAAAAATAAAAACGATCGATTTTTGCTTATCGACAATTTATTCATTTATTAATATGTTAGTGTTACGTATAGCTAGAAACTCTGAAAGGTAATCAGTAATTGGTACGATTATCTCCGTTTTCAATTAATTACAATAAAGTGACACTCGAAAGATTTATTTTTTTTAAATGAAATTTTTAATTTCCTTCTTAATCATGACATTTCGACAGTTCTTTAAATCCTTTAATGTTATTTAAAAGAAGAAGTCAAAGCACTTTACTGAAGGAGATGACCCATCTTGTTTACGATGGCTCCGTGAACTTTCATTAAATTACCAAGTACTACTTTTGTCTTTAAGCTTTTAAGCATTAAATATCGAGCTCATTACTATGACAACGAAATATCAGAAGTTTAGCGAGAATTTGAAACATTGGTTAAATTGTCTGAGTGTTTACAAAGGTAATAAACCAACTAAAACTAATGTATAATGCAATTTTATACTCAAACTAGAAAGCGAATAAATAGAAGTACATTAAACAAACATTGATAAATTTTATAAAATAATTAAAAGAATATTTTTATTCTTTACGAAATTTAATTTGATCTTGTTTAAATTATTTAATTCTCTCTTTAATCTTATTTCGCGATAAAGAACTATTAAAACTGAGACAAACACAAAGGAAATTTTTTCATTCGGTTTTTTTACTGTCAATTTTTATTAATTTTTTTATTTTTGTGTGTGTTTTTCGGTCGATTTGGCACATGGTGCAGTTAACAAAATTGTGCAAAATGCAAAAAAGACAATTACAGTGGTGCAAAATTTATATTCCTTTACAAGATTTCTTTGTTCGCATAACATTTAGAGTATGAACAATCACATCATTGAGCACTTTAAAACAATCGATTTGCATAATAGATAACATTATCAAAAGTGCGAGCAGAAGAATATTCTATAAAATAGGTGCAGCTACACATTAAATGTTTAAATCCAATTTAAATACAAAGAGTTATAAAAGAAAATGTATATATATACATATATATACGCTAATTATTATGAACAATATGTTATTTAATATTCTAGTAAGATTACAATGCTTTTGCAGATTTTTCCGGTCAATTTTACACGGATTTATTATTTCTTTTCCTACTTTTTCTTGACTTTACCCAATATTCTTTAAGTTACTTAAATTACAAGAGTAGTTATATTTAAATATTCAAATTTATTTTAATCCCTAAGCCAGAAAGGATTTTGATATTATAATCTGTTTGTTTGAAAGGAAGCCAGACACTGTGATCGAAATTAATGTAATTATTCATTACCATCAAGAGTTTTGGTAAACATGCATGCAAGTTATCCCAGTAATGCAAGAATAACTAATTGGATAAAGGAATTATACATATAAATTATTCTCGTGTTTTTCAAGTGGCAGTTAAACAGTTCTTTTTCTTGGTTACATATCCTTTTTAATGTCACAATGGAGGTTAAAACCTCGCTGAAACGCTTATTATTAGCTACTTTAAAAGTCGCATTCTTCTCTAAAGAATAATTTTAAGGTACAACAACATGTACATTTAACGAATAAAAGAGAAAAAAAAAACTGCACATAAAATAGAAAAGAAATTTTGCGACTTAATTGCATCGCGGTTCTAATTAAAAAACTATTCAGACTTTTTTCTTCAATGCACTCTTCTTTTTTTCCCTTCCTTACCACTGCATAAGCATTGTAAACTGTTTGTAATATTGGTTAATAAGCAAGATATGATTAATTTTTAGAAATTGAATGATGAAAATGTCGAAACTTTCGTTGTCTTTTTTTACCGTTTCGACACTATTTTTTCCTACTTTTAGGCCTATCCATTATGCGATGTACAGTACAATTACAACAGACAATAATATAGCGTAGAGTTGCCAGATTTCCCGGATTTTTCTCGACTGCCATTTAGCGACACGTAGGACTTTAAAACGGTTCCTACAATAAAGCATCTTTTACTTTTTCCACATTTTAAATGTATTCCTGTCGCTGACAGAATAAAAATACACATTTATTGTATGTCACAATATCTTTCGGGAAGAACACATTTTTTCCCCGAACCAAGAATCTGGCAACACTAATATAGCACGATAAATAAATAGTAAAACATCTCGAGATTTCCACAATTTTCTAAACTAAAACATTATAATAATAATAAAAAAATTAAATAATAAAACGATTATTAATTCTTAAGTAGAAAAATAAAAAAAAGTTTTGCGACTTGATGGAACTACTTACATTGTTTTGTTGTTGCTAGAATAGAAAGTTGCCAAAATATAATTACCAAACACAAAAAAAAATCAATATTTTTTTAAATAAAACAAATATAAATGTAAATTAAATATAAAATATTATAAATCTCATACATTAAAAAAAATAAAAGGAAAATGAATAAAACGAATATTCACACGCCGACGTATCACAAATATTACGATGATTTTTTTTTTATTTGGCAACACTACGTCATGCCACAATTATTTTTGCGCGAAAAAGTACTATAAAAATAATTCAAATTATGCGAAATTTCGGAACTTTTCACTCCAACAATTTCCATTACAACATCGGAATTAGGTTTTATAAAGTATTAAGTAATTACTTAATATAACGAAATACATTTTTTTGCCTTTGGTTTTTCTTTTTTAAAAGGGCAAAACTCTAGAGATTAGAAGACAGAAAGGCAATGTGTCAGAAGAAGAAGAAGAAGAAGAAGAAGAAGAAGAAAAAAAAAAAATCGATAATATCCATTTTCTTGACATTACAACAATTGTACACGATTTCGATGATGATGTAATTCACAAAATTGGCTTTAGAGAAATATTAAATTTGCATATATCTAATAAAATTATATTTAATTTTTAGTCGTTGGATTATTTCATTGTTTCGAATCGTTTCTTTGGTCCGTTTTGTCATCGATACAAGAATTGATTGTAAAATTTAACGCCTAAAATATTCTCGGATACAGTTTTATTTTATTTTATTTTTTTAAATATATTCCTTTTTTTCTGGCATAAAAAATAAAATATGTTGCAAAGACCGAATTGCAAATTGTAAATTTCGTATTTATCGAATAATAATTTTTTTTTTGGCACATTTTAAACCGTCACATAAAAGAAATTGTTTAAAATAAATAACGTATATACTGTATTTATATAATATATAATATATATATATTAATAATAATCGTTTTCCTTATATTTTACCTTACGGTTTGTCGTTTTCTTCTTTGCATATTCCAGTTTGATTTTTAGATTGATTAGAATTTCCTTCTTTATAATAACAAGTCAGTCCTTTCGAACACATACATGAATTCCAACATTGTTTACCCACCGAAACATTCATCTGTACACAAACTCTTTCTTTTCCATTTCGAATTTGGCAACAGGAACCTTACAATAACAGGAAGAAAAAAAAAAGTAAAGTAAATTCAATTTTGGTTTGCCACTAGAAGCGTTAAAAAATAAAATTTGCATTCAACTTTAGTTTAATCCTTAAGTAAAAATTTCCTTTTTTTTTCCTTATTATTTAAGAGCCTAAACTTTTGTTTGCACTTTGAAAAAATAAGAAAAAAAATTTGAATATAATTTAGTAATTAACATTAAAATAATTTTTTTTATAGTTCAAATATTTATTTTAAACATTAATGCTGATTTAATTTATAATTTTTTTCGTCCTAAATGAAAGATAAAAATCAAGTAAGATTGAGCGTATACGAAGATCATCATTGAAGAATTACGTGTCTTAAGCTCGCCATTAAAAAAAATTGTATATAATTCAAACCGATTCAACCTAATCATTACAAAAATCACATATAATTCAGGTCATAAAACCTAACGGCTAAGAAAAATTACGTGTAGTTTAGACGATTCGACCTAACCATTAAAAAACGTTACTGCAGACAAATTTCTTTCAGATACATCAACCTAACCGCTTGAGAAAATTACATACGATAGAACATACTTCGATATATATATATATATTTTAAATAATATAAAAAGATAAGAATTAATAATTATACGTAACTTACCTGGTAGGCAATTCTTGTTCGTTTTGCAAGTGGATGTGGAATTGGGTCGAACAGTCGTCACCGATTTAGTTGCACTCGGTATAGATGTAGTAGCTGGAGCATTTGTTTTTTTCTGTTGCTGTAATTCAGATAATGTTTTCCCTTTGACCGTCACATTCGAATTTATATACTTCTACATAAAGTATTGTTTCCTTTTTAGTATATTATAATCATTCATAAACACTACACTCGATTTTATTAGGAGTAATTACCTTTTCTACGTCATCGATGAGCTTCCTATTGATATGATTGTCGGGATTTTCTGTTTTCGGATAAGGGAGAAAAAAAAAATAATAATAATAAAAAATTCGTGTTTTAATCTTTTCTTTTGTAATTAGAAAACTTATCGCGAGTGATGCTAGGCGATCGTTAAGTGGGATTTGGCATGAAGACGGTTAATTACGAAAGAGTTAATGCGAGAAAGACTTAACGATTTTATCAGTGAAGTAAGAATTAAACATTGAATTATTTATATTTAATATATTTTTTAATTAATTATTAATCTAATATTTTTCTTTTTTTTTAATTTCTCTAATATTTAAATTAATCAAATAAGCAATTAATTTTGAAAAATTTAATTGATGTATATTGTAATTTTGAAGCAGGTGTTTTAATTGATGAGAGAGAGAGTGTGATATATGTACTGTATATATAAAATGCTAATGGTGTTACTGAATGAATCATCCTAACCTTTCATACATAAATCAATCATGTTGCTGTAAAAGTAAGCTTTAGGGATGGTACAGAGGTATGATATAGGAAATAAGCTGAAGTGTCGCCAATCTTGTTTTATATTTTCTTACCTTGCTTACCTCTTATTTTATGTTTTTCATTTTCACTTTTCGCATCGATAGCATTCGTTCCCTAAGGGGAAGAATTTTGTATTTGTAAAATTCACAGTATTTTATTCAAAACATTCATTCTAATCTACTACATAAAAATACGTACTCTTTCCGAAGGCGAGATTCCATCTCCGACTAAGTCATTTTCGCTAAATAATAGAAAAAAAGAGAAAAAAAGAGAGGAAATTATCCCATTTCGGAAGAGTCGAACGAGCAACAAAGATTAAAAAGAAAACAGGAAAAAAGAAATTAAATCTTGCATTATTTCTCCACTAGAAAAAAGTAGACATGCAGTCGCCAATAAGAATCGAACCGTCGTCTGTATGTCGCTGCTTTGTATCCCCAGGATGCACCAGGGCGCCAGGTTATGTAGCGGAAAGCATAATATTCCCCAACAATATCGAAGCTTCTACCCAACGTAAAAGCTTCGAATACATTAAATTAGATTCTGTTGGAGTTTATTGAGAACTTGTGCATTAGCGCCAAGCTATGTTTCACTGTAAAAGCCATCAATGAAACGGTAACTGAAAGTAGCCAGAGATTCCCATAGGGGATAACACAGTTGGCCAGATAAAGGCCAGCGAGTGCGTTTCGCTGTTTGCTTTTTCACTTTCCAATAATTTTAAGAACGGGCTTACATTCCTCAAATATCCATCGGACTATTAGCTTTTAAAATAACTAAAAACTAAAAGAATATAACGTTTCTTTTTTATAAAAAAAATATATATATATCCCGACCTGTTTGGTGAATTATGTCTATTTTTTCCGGAGTAAGTATGCTTGTATTCCTCGATTAATTCACGATTCTTGGAATGGTGATGATGGTGGTGATGATGATGGTGATGATGATGCTTTTTCCCCAATCCGATATGCACAGTTATCATCAATATTAAAATCACCAAAGTCGACACGGCTTTCTTCATTTTCGTTCGACTTTACTATAAATAAATAAATAGTAAACTCGTGCAAAAATATATAAACGCAACNTCCGTAAAGTTCTATGTAAAACGTTACCAGGATCGATCGATTTATGACAGAAGTTAAACAATGCTACATTTTATATTCCATGAAATCATTATTATTCAGGAAAGATCTCAAAAATCCCCACAAGAAGTTGTTAGACTTCCAGCAGGATTCTTCTTTTATATATATATATATATATTTATAATCCGCCATTTTGCTTTTAAATTTATACAATTCAAAACATTAATATTATCGCGGAAACATCTTCAAATTTATGGCGGAAGATTAAATTTAATAATTTCTTCGAGAGTTAAATAATTTTTCGAATAAAATTTGAAATATTTTAATCGGTTTTAAGTGCAATTATTAATATATTAAGGAAGGCAAAAACGCATTGACTTACCAAGCACTGCAGCTACGTCAACTGCTTCTCCTTGTCTGGCGTGATCACGAGGTCTGCTCCCTTTTATAGAGGTCCACGGAGATCGAAGAAAAGGAGATGCGAAACAACCAACGGATGTGCCGATTTTAATTGATGTTCTAGTTAATTGAAGAGGATTTAACGCCTTGCCAAGCGCCACAGATGGTACATGACTCATTCGATTCCCAACCCCTGACAAGGCTTCATTTTCTTTATCATTAATGTTATCGAGTGAAAACAACTTGAAGGGGGACGAACGTTATTTCTAATGCTATTTTCTTTACGCGATTTACTTGTATATATTATCGCTGGCAATTTTTGTCAACCGAACATTACACCGAATCGTTTTTTTGAGTTGCCATAAAAATGTACCTCAGACAATTAGTTGCAATTAATGAAACTGTTTTGGGGTGTAATTGCAAAGAAGAACGTACTTCAACAGCCAACGCCACTAATCTGTCTACTGTTTATCGATTACTTTACTGAAGTCTTTGTAGTGTATAAAGCTATTCGGATCTGTCCTTTGAGGCATGCAAATTTCCATCATGCCTTGGCTCGTTTAAGTTATTGAACAAGTTAAATTGCCTTTCCCTCCGTAACGGGTGAACCTTTTAACGTTTAGTGTTTACGTTAAAAATAATATATTAATATTACACACAAAAAATAATAATATTATTATTATCTTTATTACTAAATAACACAAAAAAAATTCAAATTTCTTACATAAATAAAGTCATTTAGGATAATGTAACAGAGTTTTTTTTAACGTGTATAAAAGGGGGGCCTATGTACAGATGTATTTTTATTAAATTGTTTGGCACATGGCGAATGGGTTAACATTCGAATTTCTCCCAAGAAGACGTTTTTGGTTTGTAAGAGGGCACCAAAGTACAATTTGTAAACGGATACTCTTGGCATATTATCGCTTTCACAGAAGCCATTAAAGATTCGGGAGATTTGATAACAGTGGCTACTCCACAATAACAAACATCCGAGGTGTTGTTTTCCGAACACCAAAATCTCACCCGAATTTTTTTAACGTATACACCATTGTCTGTTACTTCTTCGGATATCTCCTCTTGCCTGCTATCGGTTTTTGTAACCGTAACATTTTTATTTCTCGATACTATTTGATATTTATCTCCGGGTCGTACCACTTGTATGGAGAAACAATATCCATCAGCATAACTGTCCGACCAAAAATAGCTACGATTTTTATTAAGGTTTCCATCGTGAAACGTCAGTCGTTTGCCATACCCCATTCCAACAGTTTTAAGCCAAAGTGCCTCACCACCAAACAGATAGTTTTCTGTATTGATAAGGCGTACACGATACCTGAAACCAGGTACGATGCGCCGATCTACATACGTACCTACAGAGAAAAAAAAAATAAATGAATAATTTCCTTACTCTAAATTCCAAATAGAGTAATATATCTGTTTTGAATCCCGTGATATATTTTTATTATATACGTAGTCAATAAGTAACAGTAACCTTCCTTACCTATGACTGGAAGTTCGTGAGATTGAATGTCACTGACAATATACGAAGTAGGAACATCTGTAATATCTTCTCCTTTTAATATTTTAAAATCTCGAAGATTAAATATTTGCTAAATAAACAGGAAAACAAATTTTATAATAATATTTAAATACAAGTTTAAAAAAATAATAACAACAAAACAAAAAATCTAATCTCTTCCCTTTATAATCGAATTACTTAATTAAATGACAACATGAAAAAAAAATTAAACTTACTTTTTGTTTATTAACCTCTTCCGGAGAGTCACATTTAGGCGTATGTAGACAATCTTCGAATAAAAGTTCCCTTTCTAGACTACCACACACGTCACACTCGTTATGTTTCCACTTTAACAGCGACCAGGGGTGAATCGAAACACCAGTTTTATTAATTCCAACAGATTCGCTCCTAATTAAACTATCCGATTGCATTTCTCGAATCACAAAAATATGCTTAATTTTCTGCAAAAAAAATATATAATAATTTATATTTTTACTCGACTTATTAAGTAAATTTTCTCTTTGTTTTTGCTAGAGCAGAAAATTGACCTTTTTTTCTTTCCTCTTTCTTTTCCAATCTTTACTTCTACTCTAGCGGAAAAAATGTTAATTACACTTTTTTTTATATTAGTAAATATACTTAATTTTCGAATATTTTCTAGAATTTTCTTATTGTAAATTAAGTAAAACAAAAAAACGGTTTTAAAACGTGTTTTGAAACTAACCCAATTTCAAAAGTAACAGAGAATGTTGCGCATACAGTACCTGGTTTTCTTGCCTAGGAATCTGTAACAGTTGTCAGTAGTCGAACAGGAAACGATTTTATAGGCCTTTCCACGTTTTGATCATCAGGGGGATTGGCCGAGTCTGATAACTTACACGTGATTCCTTATCAGTGATTGGACTGCTACTTTTATACTAGTCACATGCCCGATACACGTGAAGGGTATTTTATAGCACGTGTAATTTGTTTTTATATATATATCGGCCTATACACATACTATTTTCAAATATTTTAACCTATTACAAAACAGGTCAGACTCATTCAAGTACGTTCCTTGTCCTCATTTATCACAATTTCGGTGTGACTTCAACTTTTTTTTTCTTTTAAATTAATCAATGTTTAGTGTATGGTAATTCGGTCATCGTCGAGCCGTGATCGAACTTTAAATGTTATTTATTACGGTCTAAAAATAATATTTATTCGTTAAATGTAAACAAACAATCATTTAAATTCCTCCATTCTCTTAATAGCACGTTTGTTTTTTTTTTTTTTTTTTTTTTTTTTGTTTACGTGGAAATTATTGGATAATTTATTTGTGGTTACGGCATAAATACACACGCTTTAACTGTAACGAAGAATTTAAATTAAAGGGCGAGTTTAATTAAACTTTATCCAATTTTTCGCTATTATATTCACTTAAAACGTTGGAAAATTATTAAAATTTTCTTAGAATTACTTCCGTTTTTTTTTGTTTTTTTAAACTAGAAACAAAAAATATATTTTAATTAAACTTTTTATGGCCGTCCGGGTGTGATATCGAGCATATTTAACACAATTTATTGCATTTTAAAACAAAACTATGCTTCATAAACACGTGATTTTAATGGTTTAAGAGGGAAAGTGAATGTTTAAATTTTAACAATTTACACGGTGTTTATCATATTATGTCATATTCTAATCGATAAACGGCTTAAAAATAACTATCTTATCTTTTACGCTTGCGTTAATCGTGATTGTTTCCCTTTAAACTATGACAAAATGGCTAACCGAGTCTTAAATCAAGCTCGAATCTTATTAAAATTACACTCTTCCGACCTTAAAAATGTCGTCAAGATGAGAATATGATTGAAAGTTCATCGGAAATCAACCCGAAAGCGGTCGTTACACCCAAAGTATAGGATTAATTAATGCNCTAACCGAGTCTTAAATCAAGCTCGAATCTTATTAAAATTACACTCTTCCGACCTTAAAAATGTCGTCAAGATGAGAATATGATTGAAAGTTCATCGGAAATCAACCCGAAAGCGGTCGTTACACCCAAAGTATAGGATTAATTAATGCGCTACTACTATAAACTTTTCAAGGTTTCCTTCCTTTGACCTTTATTAATCTTATCATTAATACATATTTTTTTTTTAATTTTAATGAATGAAGTTTCATAAATTCTTATGAATGAACGTAAACTTAGCAACGAATGACCGCTTTCTTTTAAATCAATAATATTGCTAAATTATCTTCTCTCGATAATTTCATATTTTAAATTCCTGAATGGGAATGGAAAATTCATTGCACGTGTTTGGAATTACAGAATTCACGCTTTTATTTTTAATATTTAAGTAAAAAAAATATATATATATTATATTTTTTTAAACTTTTTTTCCCTCCTCCTTTGGAGAGAGAGCATACTTTCGAAGACTTTTCTAACGGAAGAAAATGACTTTAAATATGTTTTTTTTAAAGAAAATATGGCTTTAAAACGTATAAAATTGATATAAAACATGTTTTTCCAGTTTAAAAATAGTCTTAAATACGTTTTTCTGTTAAAAAAAATTGATTGTAAACATGTTTTTATACTACAAAAGACGACTAAACATATTTCCCATTATAAAACATATTTAGAAATGATATTTCTGATAGAAAAACAAGCCTGAAAAGTCATTTTTTTCGATTAAAAAAAATTGAAAAAATGACATTTATAATCCAAATTTTTAAATTTCAATTTGTTTTGTAATGAAANACAAACTCTTTCTTTTCCATTTCGAATTTGGCAACAGGAACCTTACAATAACAGGAAGAAAAAAAAAAGTAAAGTAAATTCAATTTTGGTTTGCCACTAGAAGCGTTAAAAAATAAAATTTGCATTCAACTTTAGTTTAATCCTTAAGTAAAAATTTCCTTTTTTTTTCCTTATTATTTAAGAGCCTAAACTTTTGTTTGCACTTTGAAAAAATAAGAAAAAAAATTTGAATATAATTTAGTAATTAACATTAAAATAATTTTTTTTATAGTTCAAATATTTATTTTAAACATTAATGCTGATTTAATTTATAATTTTTTTCGTCCTAAATGAAAGATAAAAATCAAGTAAGATTGAGCGTATACGAAGATCATCATTGAAGAATTACGTGTCTTAAGCTCGCCATTAAAAAAAATTGTATATAATTCAAACCGATTCAACCTAATCATTACAAAAATCACATATAATTCAGGTCATAAAACCTAACGGCTAAGAAAAATTACGTGTAGTTTAGACGATTCGACCTAACCATTAAAAAACGTTACTGCAGACAAATTTCTTTCAGATACATCAACCTAACCGCTTGAGAAAATTACATACGATAGAACATACTTCGATATATATATATATATATATATACATTAACACGCAATCTTGTTTAAGAAGAGGACGATAAAATTATATATATATGTATATTTTTTTTAAATAATATAAAAAGATAAGAATTAATAATTATACGTAACTTACCTGGTAGGCAATTCTTGTTCGTTTTGCAAGTGGATGTGGAATTGGGTCGAACAGTCGTCACCGATTTAGTTGCACTCGGTATAGATGTAGTAGCTGGAGCATTTGTTTTTTTCTGTTGCTGTAATTCAGATAATGTTTTCCCTTTGACCGTCACATTCGAATTTATATACTTCTACATAAAGTATTGTTTCCTTTTTAGTATATTATAATCATTCATAAACACTACACTCGATTTTATTAGGAGTAAATTACCTTTTCTACGTCATCGATGAGCTTCCTATTGATATGATTGTCGGGATTTTCTGTTTTCGGATAAGGGAGAAAAAAATAATAATAATAATAAAGTTCAACGGCGTATTAATTAATAAAAATTCCATATGAAAGACATAAAATGGAGCAAGGTACTATACATTTTTTGAACCTGGACTCACGAGTCACTGATCGGTGAAGGTCTAAAGGTTGCTGTTCTTTCATATTCTTTAACCTTTCTCTAAAACCTTGAACTGTTTTTTTGAATTTTGATATTGATTCCCAATGGCAATTTTATTTAGCTTTTATGTTTTCTTCCATTTTCTCTCCTCCTCCTCCTCCTCCTCCTCCTCTTCTTCTTACTTCCGTTGGATAGGTTTATTTTTAATAAATATTTATGTTATAAAATTCTGTATCTGTTGCGAATTTCTTTTCTTTCAGAAGCTCCCGAAACACGAAATGAAAGTGGAGTGTAATTATCTGAATTGCACATTTTGGCCCGGGTGGAAAAATCTATTAAGTAATGTTATGTTTTCAGTTGGTCGTTCATTCGCTTATTTTCAATATCTTTCCAGGAAAATTGATTTAGAAAATATCCTAAATCCTTTCTATTTACCTTTTTTTATTTTATTATTATATACACCTTTTTTAACTTATTTCTTGCAATGTGTTTATTACAAAAATTTTTGATTGAATGCGTTTTTATGGAATCAAACTGGAAATTTTTCTAACGCTACATGTCTTTACACTTTGGAAATTGAAGCAGAGTTTATAATAAATGGAAACATTTTGATCGATAAGGAATGAAAATAAACGGAAAATATAATCGTTTTATCATTGATATCATTCATATTATTTTATTTATTTTTATAATTAATTAATATATTTACCTTAATGGAGATTTGTAAACGTAGAAGTGACAATTACTATGACTGATCCTGTGTAAATCTTTCGTTTTCTTTTGCCGTTTTACCTGTACAATCGGAAGGGTACTGAACAGAAGATGATGATGATGATGATGATATATTATATCACCACTTTCACTTTATTGCACATAAAGTGATATTATTTGCAATGATGATGATGATGATGCATTAAATAATCATATAATACATGATGATGATGATGATGATAAGATTTTTAAATGGAAAAATGCAACTGAATAGGGATAATATTGTACAACTCATTTCATTCTTTGTCGTGTTACCCGTATAATCGAAAGAGTATTAAACTGATGCTAATGATGATATTTATATATAGGCCTACTGTAGGGCCTATATATAAATAGCGCTATACAAAAATAATTAAATAAACTTTAAAATAATCGGTAAATAAACTTTAATTCCGTGAATTAAGAAGTTATGAGTTAACAAAGTTAAAAATTAAGTAAAAGTAGGTTATTTCGATCGAATTTTTAACTTAAATCAATGAAAACTTTTACAGTTTACAAGAAACAGAATCAGTGGAAAAACCAGTTATAAAGTCACACAAGGACATGACGAATCCTGCAAATCAATAAAAAAAAAATAAAAGTACTCTCTCGATTATCCGTGCATGTTCTTAAGAAAATCAATAATTCGAGAAAATTAATTTTTAAATCGAATATAATACGTAGTAGAAGATTTTATTTTCTTTTAAAAAAATAATAATTTAAAAAAAGAGGAAATTATTCATTTCTTCTTTTTCGTATTTTCTGATAAATTCTAAATTCTATTGAAAAGGAAACAAAAATATTTGATCAAATAGAAATTTTATCGATCTTTTTAAGATAATCCCAAACGATATATGTTAGACAGAAACACGCCACAGAATTTACATAAATCTTATATTGTTAAAAATAATAAATAAATAAATGAAATTTCACGAATAATCGAACGTATTTTATGTAATTTAATAATCAAAATTCACTTCTTGAAAGTCATTATTTTAAGGATTAATTATAGTAATTATAAAGTCTAAACATTGAGAATAATGGATTGAAACTTAACCATTGTTAACTAGAACCTATTGTTACAAATGCACTGGCATACGTTGTAGAATTGTGATTAAATGCAGACATTTTCATTAAAAAAAACCTTAATGTTTTCTGAATCTAAACAAAGAAAAAAATTCAAAAAATTTGCCATTTTTATAATTGTTCTTTTTAAAACGACAAAATAAATCCTGTAATTTATATTCCTCTTCCTTCTCCTCTCCGTGTTTACTTTCAGAATTAGAGCTTATACATGAAATGATTAAACCCCCTATTTAACGTATTTATTAGTTTAATTGTTATTAATTAGTAATTCAATAAACGTTTAAGTAATTTCAATAACTTTAATAATCGTAAATTCAGCAGGAATTCTTGTAGAATTATAAGAAAACTTGCATTTAAATCTATATATAGTTAAGGCTGCTGATTCTTATAAGAGTTTTTATAACTAGGAATGCAAAAAATTTCCATATGTTGTAAACAAGTTAGAAAAAAATTCACGTAAACTTACAACATAAAAAAAATTTTTTTATCGTGTTTTTGGATTTTTATGAGCAAACTAATTCAGTTTCTTTACTGAAACAGTAGAGAATTCATACAAAATTTACTCTATTTTAAGTCTTATCTCTTGTGTGTTTATATATAAGTATGTTTATTCATCTAGAAGCAATATAAGCCCGCCTTTCGAGGCTTTAATGCTTCAAGATTAACATACTTTAACATAAATCCAAGTTCGTTGAACTTATCCAGATTCAAATTTGATCAATGTTCTCATATCATTATCATTAGCGGTCGACAGACAAACAAACAAATCCCAATAGTAAATAGATTACATATCATAATTGTCGTAAACTTTGTTCTAAATATCCATTTTTTCTTTTTCTTTTTTTATGTACTGAGAACGAACGTAAACAAGACTGATTATAATAGCGATTTCTAATTTTAAAAAATCCATCAACGAGTTACGTAACTTTCCCGGCAATAAAGTTAAAATTGTGTGTGACGCCATCTGTTATGAGATTTTATTATTTTTTTTAATTTATACTATTAATATTTATTATAAAATGGCAAAAAAGAGTTAAAATTTTGAGGGTAGAGATGAGTCTTATAAAAAATTACCAATGCCAACAACGAGTAAGATCTTCCGATTCCACTCGAGATACGACAACTGACCACTCCTCTATCTTCCCATCCCGTTGACCTTTAACCACGAAAATTTAGTAGCATGAATCCCTCTAATATACGAACCTTCCTGCAAAATTTCATAGATTTTCGACCAAAGACACAAGAGTTATTAAGCCTTATATTGGGCAAACAGAATCGTGCCCCCCCCACACACGCACTCTAACTTCCGTACATACAGAAATATCCCCGAATTTTTTGAATTTCTCGAGGTTTCAAGGTCCTCTTAATCAAAAGAATATATAAAAATATTGGGGAAAGGTTTTTTTTTTTTGATGATCGCCATACTTTCCCTCTGTTATAAATAATATCTAAGAAAGTAAAAATAACGAAAAATTGTAATAAATTTTTCTGTTTCCAGCAAATATTTTGCTGTAAAAGTTATTAAAAGTTTAAGTTACATAAATAGCTTAATTTAATACAGAATATTGAATGGCGCTTACATATCAATCGATAGGAAACTTGAGTTAATTTATACGATTCTCTTGCCATTGAATGTTGCTTTCACTTAAAATCGACGTGTTAAATTTTGCATTTCTCAAAACATAAATTTAATAAATGACAGAATATCAATAATATATTAAACTTTTTTTTGTTACTATCTGAGAGATGACTCGTATTAATTTACGGTATCTTATTACCATATTTCAAATTTGATTAAAGACAAAATAACAGATGGACTTTAAGAAACTGAAATCTATATACATTTATCATTGTTTCCGACATTTTTTCTTTGTATATTTATAGAATTCTAACAAACTTTAGTGAAGATTTAGAACTCGAGTTGTGATTAGATAAGTTTACTCCACATAATCCTGTGGAGAAGGAAAGGAAAATTTCTTGGAGTCCCAATAACAGGAGGCCCCAAACCAATCTTTTATAAGAAAATATTTCCTCAAAAAATCCTCCCCCCGAATAAAAATGTCTAGAGTCACTCAACACTGTACACGGGGCCTCCTAATTCAAATTTGTCTAGGCCCCACAAAACTATAACGCTGCTACTGATATAATCCAGCATTTTTTTTAATTGTTTCGTGCGGTTTCTTTTTCCCTTTTTTTTTGTAAATTTAAACGCGATTTTTGGTAAACACAAGGCAAAAAAAAAAATAGTAAGAGGGGAGCATATGTCTCTTATAAATTTTTTCTGTCACGATAAAATCGAAGATACGCTTTAGAATTCCGAACATTTCACTGGGAAAACATATGTTGGATTCTTGATACTTGATGATGATGATGATGATGATGATGATGATGGTGATGATGATGATGATGATGATGCTGCTGCGAATGGTGATGATGGTGGTGATGATGATGGTGATGATGATGCTTTTTCCCCAATCCGATATGCACAGTTATCATCAATATTAAAATCACCAAAGTCGACACGGCTTTCTTCATTTTCGTTCGACTTTACTATAAATAAATAAATAGTAAACTCGTGCAAAAATATATAAACGCAACTTATTAAATATTATTTATTTCATTAATTATATATATATATTTATAATCCGCCATTTTGCTTTTAAATTTATACAATTCAAAACATTAATATTATCGCGGAAACATCTTCAAATTTATGGCGGAAGATTAAATTTAATAATTTCTTCGAGAGTTAAATAATTTTTCGAATAAAATTTGAAATATTTTAATCGGTTTTAAGTGCAATTATTAATATATTAAGGAAGGCAAAAACGCATTGACTTACCAAGCACTGCAGCTACGTCAACTGCTTCTCCTTGTCTGGCGTGATCACGAGGTCTGCTCCCTTTTATAGAGGTCCACGGAGATCGAAGAAAAGGAGATGCGAAACAACCAACGGATGTGCCGATTTTAATTGATGTTCTAGTTAATTGAAGAGGATTTAACGCCTTGCCAAGCGCCACAGATGGTACATGACTCATTCGATTCCCAACCCCTGACAAGGCTTCATTTTCTTTATCATTAATGTTATCGAGTGAAAACAACTTGAAGGGGGACGAACGTTATTTCTAATGCTATTTTCTTTACGCGATTTACTTGTATATATTATCGCTGGCAATTTTTGTCAACCGAACATTACACCGAATCGTTTTTTTGAGTTGCCATAAAAATGTACCTCAGACAATTAGTTGCAATTAATGAAACTGTTTTGGGGTGTAATTGCAAAGAAGAACGTACTTCAACAGCCAACGCCACTAATCTGTCTACTGTTTATCGATTACTTTACTGAAGTCTTTGTAGTGTATAAAGCTATTCGGATCTGTCCTTTGAGGCATGCAAATTTCCATCATGCCTTGGCTCGTTTAAGTTATTGAACAAGTTAAATTGCCTTTCCCTCCGTAACGGGTGAACCTTTTAACGTTTAGTGTTTACGTTAAAAATAATATATTAATATTACACACAAAAAATAATAATATTATTATTATCTTTATTACTAAATAACACAAAAAAAATTCAAATTTCTTACATAAATAAAGTCATTTAGGATAATGTAACAGAGTTTTTTTTAACGTGTATAAAAGGGGGGCCTATGTACAGATGTATTTTTATTAAATTGTTTGGCACATGGCGAATGGGTTAACATTCGAATTTCTCCCAAGAAGACGTTTTTGGTTTGTAAGAGGGCACCAAAGTACAATTTGTAAACGGATACTCTTGGNTAATATCCCTATATATGGAAAAAATAAGACGTATTTATGGTAAATATGAAAGAAATGTAACTTGAAAAATACATTTCGGAAGGTTCCATTCTTGTAGATTTATTTTCCTGTACAGAATTTTATGCAGACATGTTTTACGTTTTGTCTATATTTTGCTACATTTGTATCTATTGTCATGGATGATGAATATAGATGATGATGGAGTATAGAAGAAGATGAAAACGAAACTTTGGTATCATCTATTTTATCAATTGAAACTTTCGCAGATGTTTTGAAAAAATCCAGATATGTTTTGAACTGTTTCTATTCTTCATTGCTGTGTTCTCTATTTTAAAAATAATCTCTATCCTCCCCTCATTAATAGTATTTCAGATGCAAAAGAATTATGTATTATGAGAAAAATGTTTGAAAATATATTTAAAAATATCAAGAATAAATAAACTTCTTTGAAATTCTTGTTTTATTTTCTTTCTCAGAATATATGGACATTATTACATGACTATATTTCACAAATATAGTCATATAACAGCATCATTTTATTGCATCTAAATCATAATATAAAAACTTAAAAATTATTTTTATTTTACTGAAATTTAATATAAAATCATTTCTTTAAAATATCTTTACAACAAAATATTTCATAAAATAAAAAAAATAAATAAATTGAATATTTTTAGAATGTAACACCCTGGAGGAATATTTGTTTCATGATTATAGTAAATATAATTATGAATAATAAATTAAAATTACATGTTTAAATATTAAAAATTGATTAAAATTATTTATTTTTATATCAATACATTCATTTTATCATATATTATATCATTTTTTATTTATTTAAATGAATAAATAAAGTGCATAATAGCACACTGTTTTATATAAAATAAATAACTAAATATATATATAAAAGCACTTTATTTATTCATTTAAGAGATAAAATTATAAAATATGAAATATTTCATTAATTAACAAGTTCCTATTGATATAAAAAAAAGAATAATTTATACCAAATTTTAATATTTAAATACTTAATTTTTAATTTATTATTCATAGTTTTACTATTTTAGATAGAAAATTTTTCATCTCATGTCTTGACAGAATATTAAATTCATCCACTACACAAATTAATTTCATTATCATCAGGCTTTAGTGTTTGTATTTTCAATATAGCATAAATCTTATCTAATTATAAATATTAATAAATGTATTTAATAAATAATATTCTAATTAAAGTTTTTATTATATTTTTTTTAAATTAAAAATGATCACACTGGAATAAAGTTATAATTAATCTTCTATACACATTTGCTTCAATAACTTTAGTAATTTTTATTGTAGACTATGAAAAGTTAAAAGTTATTATAATGATACTTGATATAGACAATTCATGACTGAGTTTTATTAGTTCCAAGTCATAAGCAGGTAATAAATGAAGATTAAGAAAATAAAAATAAGACTTTTACAAAGATTTTGTGTTGAAAATATATTGAAAAGTATAAAATATTAAGCATAAATCAGTAAATAAACCAGAAATTAAAACATTGAGAAAGAGTTTAGTTTCAATATGAAATACTTGTAAATTTTTAATTATAAAATAGGAAAGATTGTGATTTTTTAATTTAAAAAAAAAAGGAGAAATTTGTGTTTTTTTTTAATTTAAATTAATGAAATATTTGAATTTTTTGATGAAAGATAAATCATATTTTGAAGAAACATACAGTTTTAAAATAGAAAAACACTATTTTTTAAGAAAAAAAGTAAAGGAAAAATAAACTATAAAGGTCATACAAACTTTAAAAAAAAAAAAATTAATAAATTCTATTATTCAATGTGAAATAGAAAAATGAATCAAAACAATGACAGGTAAGGTAATTCAGTAGTTTAAATATTAAAATTATAGGACAGTATAAAAGCCTCATATAATATAAGAATGATATAAAATATATGAGTTCAGCATTTAATGCCTGGGGTAAAATATTGTGAAAATATTTAATAGTTTTGTAAGGGTAAATGATGAAATAAATTATTGATAGAACTATTTCTTACATTTGATGGTTTGTTGAATATCCTTTAAAAAATAGGACAGACTGATACAATGAGATCATAAAAATATTTACATATTATAATTAAATTTCATTGTCCTTAAATTAACTTAACTTTCAACACTGAAAATACTATATTTTAAAGAATATTATAGATGAAAAGTGCTTATAAAACAATTTAATAAATAATATTATACAACTTTTTATAAAATAATGTCATTGAAGAAATTAAAAGTTATTAACTTATATAAATCTAATAAAAGTAAATATAAATGTTATCAAAATCTGATCATTTCAATCAATTCTTTGGAATCCTATTAAACAATATCTTCTTTTTTAAAAAGAATAATAACTTATTAAATAAAATTACAGAAAAAAATTCAGCTTCAAAATATATATAAATATTTAAATCTTTCCACTTTATGAACACATAGAGGGCCATTAAAAATCCCTCCATATGCTCTTAGGGCACCTGGAGGGCCTTTTTTGTGCTCATATGCACTCATAGGGCACATCCAAGACCACAATGAATGATCCTATGGGATGAGCCCCGAAAAATTCTCAGATTTTTATCATTTTATTTCTATCCTAAAGCCCTATCACAGGAAAATCAGCAGACCATTGATCCTTACTCCATAAATATTTTATTACAGATTACTTCATGTATTACTTGTGTATTAAGATGTATATTAATTAAATTTTATTACTTAATTTTTTACGCTTTTTTTTTAATATAATAGAAGCTTCAAAAGATTTCCAGTAAGTAAGCCTGGCTTCTCTGAATCTCTAAGAGGCTTTGTTCTTAAGCCCTATAAAATATACCAAAATTTCCTGTCTCTTTTATATCTATCTTCCTTTTCAATGGAAATAAAATTAAATGGTAAATGATTCACAATTTCTTTTGTTTTTTGTATAATTCCCGAAACTGTTTCAATTTTCTATTAGAAAAATCAGATGCGGATAAACCATTCCAAAAATTATGATTGGATTTGATTAACGATCGATCTCTTATCTCTTATAAAAGGATCGATTCGCGGCTTTACTTTCTCGATTGAAGAATGTAAATTCGATCGATTGATCGTAGCGATTGCCAAGTTAAACTTTCTTATCGATAGATAAGCATTTTGAATTTTCGACAAGAACTATTTAAAGAATTTCACTTCTATACTGAATAACAATATCACAATTCCATGAATCGGAGTCACTTATAATAGAGAATGGCGCCAGAGATATTCCATAAAATCGAATATTGAATATTCGATGTTGATATTTATAGATGTCATTTCTTTTATTTCCCTATAAAATATCGAATATAAATATTTAACGTTTCAAATAAAAGAAATATAAAATAAATCTCTTCATAAATCATGAAGGCGTAAAATGTTCGCGTGGTAGAACATTCAAAATCGAGTAAAATTTAAAAGTTAATTAAGATTAACATTTTTTTTTATTTTCAAATATTAGATCTACGTCAAGAAAAGCTTATTGTTTATCTACATTATTCCCAAATTTCCGTTGTATACTACAGTACTTCACTTTGTTACAATGATGATCAGTCTTCAGGAACTTGCCATAATGGCCTGAGAGTAGAGAGAAAGCCCATTTTGCCTACCACGGGCCCTAAGTTATCTTCGAGTCTTCCAATTTTTCTCTCGGCGATTATGTTTACAAGCCTTATATTCGTAACATTCTAATCAGCATTTGAAACCACTTATATTACAATGCGTTCAAATGTGTTTTCCCTCAATTTCAACGATAATGGAAAATATAGTGCCATAGAAAAGAATTGAATGGCTTGCACATTCTCCAGAACCGAATCCTTGAGACATTTTTTCTAGAGCTATCTCTCCTCAAAAACCATTCTATTCTCGATCTTAAAGAAAGATTTTGAAGGAATTCGAGTCATCCATTGTGTGAAATCTTATTCATTCCGAGTGACGTTCTTCAATGTCTGATTTTGACATTTTGACTATAATAATTGAATAATAAATCTGATAATTTAAATAAACATGTTTAAAAAAACAAAATTTTATTTTAATTTATACTAATCTTATTAATGAATTTTGTAATATGCTGAAGTACGGGTGTATTGAATTCATGACAAAATCATTTCTGATGGATTCCGGAATACGTTTAAACTTCATGCATTCGTGTAATGAATAAATGACTAATCTCATTTATTTATTCATTTAATTTCGTCATATCCTCCGTTTCTAAATAAACAACATAT